TACGGACACGTGAAAATTTTGGTGGGGAAACTGCTAACCCGGTAACGGAGAAAGCTGAAAGGTTTGATTTTTAGAAAATGCCAAATTTAACTCTTCTAGTGCGGTCTTTTTCGCAGACCAGCAACTTTCCATTTGTCGGATCACTGAAGTTGAAATCTACAACTGACATACCACATAGCTGCACAATTAACTTCCCAAACTTCGACGGCCAGTACGTCACAGGGTTAGCTACTGTGATTCCTTGCGATCTTGCTACGGCACGAAAAGTGCATAAACGCATAATCGCACCGGCCCGCCTGGTGCGTTCCAGCCTGGGTTTGCATAGTTCCTCGCAATTTTTGTCGCTACCGCCACCGGCTTTTTCGGCAAATGTTTCTAGCTAAACAAATGAAGACTGGCCGCCAGAACTGGCAAGGAGAACCCCCTTAAGACTTCAGCTTTCTAGCTTTCCTGGCTCCTGAGTTAGCAACTTACTGGGAAAAACTTTCACGGGCCGTAAATGGGTACCACGCATACCCAGTGTCAGGGTTTGAGCTCGTTGGGACTTACTTGATCGGGGAACATATTCTTAAAACTACGGTCTTTTAGCTTTTCAGGTTCTCGAGTTAGCAACTTACCTGAGAAAAACTTTGATGAGTTCGTGCGTAGGTACCACGCATACCCGGAAGCTGGGTTTGAGCTAAATAAGAATTAGGTGGACGGGAAACATCCCCCTAAGACTTCAGCTTTCTAGCTTTAGAGATCTCTGAGTTATCAACTTACCCGAAAAAAATTTTGGCAGGCCTGTACGCGGGTCTCACGCTTACCCGGAGGCTGGGTTTGAGCTCATTAAAACCTACTTGAACAGGAAACATCGCTTTAAAATTTCAGCCTCAAACATTCCTGTTTCCCGAGTTAGCAGCTTACTCGTAAAAAACTTTGGCGGGCTCTTACGTGAGTACCACGCGGGTAAGACCACCCATTTTGGAGAAGAGGGCCCGTACGTTAGGCCGTATGTAAATTATGCCCGTATGTAAATTAAGTTTCCAAAGTTTCTTTGTAGGTCTCTAGATGAAAAATCGGTACAATGGCCCTGCAAACACACAGACACAGACAACCTCTTGTCAATATGCTTTTTCCGCATTACATAGCTGCAAAAAACGCATAAAAACGGTATAAAATGACTGAAAATTTTTTTGTGGTAAATTTTGCATTTCAAGTCCTGCAAAGCACCCAGTGCTCTCAAGATAAGCATCATTGGCGACGCGCACTA